GCAGTTGCTCGGACAGCCCCACTTAAGCGGCGCTCAGAGAGGTGAGAGGGGGAAGGGTAGCCGTGAGGGCTGGGGTTTTGCGCCTCTCCTTCCAGGCTCTCCTCCCAGGCAACCATATCCGGCTCCTGAACCGATCGAGCTCCTCGGGACAGACCTCGTTAAGCCTTTATTCTTGACATCCTTCGTGCCCTCACTTTGTCATTTCTGTAGTGATAAAGGATGGATTGATTCTTGTTCCTTGCAACTCGAGCTAAATAATGCTTAAGAGAGTTAAATAGGGTTTTCCTATCTAGTTTCCAGCCAAAGTTTACTGAAGTGCATTTAGATCTGGAAGAAGTTTTAATCTGTATTGTTGAATGCTTCCTTTCATCCACGCAGCCCATGACACATCCTGTGCTAAGTAAGGTCTTGCTTTTCTTGTTTCTTCACGTTCTCCATATTAGTACATTGGTCTCTGTTGAAAACTGTTGATTTTTTTTTTGTTAGTAATTACCTTATGGAATTTCTCAAGAGTTTTTGTGGTGCCGACCATACGGTTTTTATCACCCGAGACATATTTCCGTTGTAGAGGTGTATTTCCCTGTTCTTCCGTCTCGATTCATTCTAAAAAAGTTGTCAAGCTTAGTTACTCAAACCGTGGTATTCTTGCTCTGGTGGCACTTTGTCAGAAGTAGAGCTCCAAATAGACATAGATTTGTATATGCATAAAAAGAGTGGTTGGCTCAAAAAGAACCTGAGATTCTTTTAAAATACCCAATTGTTAATTTCCCACAAGAATGAAGGTACCTGGGATCATGATTCCTGAGTAACTTATGTTTTATTTTGAAATTATTCAGTTTTTAGATGGACCAATTTATAATTCTTTGCCCAAGTCACTGGGCAATAAAAATTATTAGATACAGTGTGAGGTTCAAGTTGAGATGATACTCATTTATATATTGAATATATCGTAGTGGGATTTCAGAGTAATGCTTTTCAGAGCTCACCATTCAGAAACCTGCAAACAGGAACAAGTTATAGCAGCAAATACTTTAGACATAGTATCTGTTAGACCATTTGATTTTAAAACTATTAACGGTGTCAGCACACTTCCCCATTCTCTCTGCTTAGCAACCAAGCCATTATTCACAGGTTAAGATAATATTTCCTTTGCTGATTTCACGGGTATGAATAAGCTTAAGGCTGAGGATTAAACAGTTCTAGTTTTTAATTTTGACTTTAACCTATTGTATGACCTTGAACGTGAGTGTGTCTTTAGTTTCCAAAATGGAGATGATACATAGTTCTACCAAATATTGAAGTACATAGAAGATACTCACAGATGTCTGAAACTGTTAAGGCCTCATGCTGTTTATTAGTTAGGCACTTAAGGTATTTAGTGATTTTGTTTAAAGTGGGGATTAGCCTGTAAAACCTTCAAATGCCAGATGCCTCCAAAACTGTGAATGCTACCCTCAGCAAGCATATGGGCCTATTGAGAGCAATAGATTTTCAAGCAGGATGAAAAAGCAGTAATGAAATTTGCATAACTAAAGTACTGTATTGCAAAATTGTTAGGTTATCTAAAATAACATAACTTTTTTGTTTTGTTTTGTTTTCCCCCGAGACGGGGTGTCTCTGTGTAGCTTTGGAGCCTATCCTGGCACTTGCTCTGGAGACCAGGATGGCCTTGAACTCACAGAGATCCGCCTGCCTCTGCTTCCCGAGTGCTGGGATTAAAAGCCTTCGCCACCAACACCCAGCTTAAAATAACATAACTTTTAAAAAAGTGTACCTATAATTCTGATGTGAGTACCAAAATTTCCCAAATAAATTATTTATTACCAGTGCATATCTCATTTGAGTATCTGAATGAACTCACTGAAAAGAATGCCAAGATCGGAAATTCAGTTTCACTGAAGGTTAGTTTGCCCTACTGTGACCACTTTAGTACCCTGAGGTTCACAAATAGTGTTGGTCTCAAGGGCAATAGGTTGAGAAAACATAGATATATTAGCATTCTATCAACGGTAATATTATCTATATAAATAATGTCATATGAGCTTACTCAGTTGTCCAAGAGACTATAACAGTATTGCCTACAAGAGGTTTTTTAAGATTTTATTTTTAATTATAAAAATGTAGGGGGAGGGGGGGTGTTAGAGAAGGAAAAAAAAGAAAGAAAGAGAGAGAGAGAGAGAGAGAGAGAGAGAGAGAGAGAGAGAGAGAGAGAGAGAGAGAAAGAACCTGCAGAGGCCAGAAGAGGACATCAAGTCCCCTGGAGAGTTACAGGCAATTGTGAGCTGCAAGATACAGGTTCTGGGAGCTGAATTTCAATCCTTTGCAAGCACAGCAAGTATTCATAACTACTGAGCCATCTCTCCAGTCCAGACCCTAAAATTTCTTTTTAATAGAATCTATACTTGATGTAAAAATCATCATTATGATGAAAGATGAGACTGGAAGAGAGGATGACAATAACTGAGGAGAACCAAATATTGAAAAAAAAAACATTGATTTTTTTTTAATCTATGAATGTATTATGAATGAATGTTAATAGCATTTATTCTGGGAGTAAATACTTGTAGAAACTCAATATGATATAAAAGAGAATATAGTAAAAGTTCCTCTGCTCTTAACTACCTACTTCTTCTAGCTGAAAACACCAGGTATTTGATTCTTGTATTACCTTGGCAGTACTAGGTTGACTTTTCTCATAGCAAGATGAATAGTATCAATTTGTTTATTTATTTTGGATTTTTGAGACGGGGTTTCTCTGTATAGCTCTGGAACCTGTCCTGAAACTCACTCTGTAGACCAGGCTGGCCTTGAACTCACAGCAATCCTCCTGTCTCTGCCTCCCAAGTGTTGGGATTAAAGGCATGCACCACCACTGGCCAGCATCAATTTTTAATACAATTTTATTCTTTGAGAACTTCACACACTGTATTTTGATCATATTCACCACCACCTCACTGTTCCCTCTAACTCCTCCCAGATCTACCCCTACCTCCCCACTGTCTTTCAGCTTGATGCCCTCTACTCACCTTAATAACCTACCATTGTCTGATTTGTGTTACCCATACACTTATTATGAGTATAGCGCCATCCATTGGAACATGGTTGCCATACCCTTAAAGAAAACTGACTCTTCCTTCCCTAGAAGTCGTCAACTGTCAGCAGTTTTCTCAGTTAAGAGTGGGAGTCTCATAAGTACCTCCCATGCTAGAATGTTAACTGACTTGGTCTTTGTACTGGCAGCCACAGCCTCTAGGAGTTCATGAATTGAATGGTTCTGTCATGTCCAGAAGATACTATTTTATCCCAGTTCTCCCTGACCTCTGGCTCTTAAAATTCTCTCTTTACCTTCCACAGTGTTCTATTAGTCTTGGGGGTGTATGATGTGGATGTCCCATGTGTGACTGAATACTACATTGACACTTTTTTTCCCCTGTGTGTTTTATTTTTTTTTTATTTGAATTAGAAGCAAGATTGTTTTACATGTCAATCCCAGGTCCCTCTCCCTCCCCGCCTCACCTACAATCCCTCCCCCCAACTAAAACCCTACCTATCACATATCCTTTCTGCTCCCCCTGGAGGGTGAGGCCTTCCATAGGGTGTCATCAGAGTCTGTCATGTCCTTGGGGATAGGGCCTAGGCCCACCCCCGTGTGTCTTGGCTCAGGGAGTATTCCTCTGTATGGAATGGGCTCCGAAAGTCTACGTCTATGTTAGGGTTAAGTACTGAACTACTACAGGAGGTCCCGTAGATTTCCGAGGTTTCCTCACTGAAACCCATGCTCCTGGGGTCTGAATCAGTCCCATGCGGTATTCCAGCTATCAGTCTGGGGACCAAGAGCTCCCCAATGTTCAGGTCAGCTGTTTCTGTGGATGTCACCAGCCTGGTCTGGACCCCTTTGCTCATCACTTGTCCTTCTCTGCAACTGGATTCCAGTTCAGTTCAGTGAGTAGTTGTGGGTGTCTGCTTCTACTTCCACCAGCTGTTGGATGAGGGCTATCATGTGGCATATATGTCAGTCATCATACATTGACACTGATTCCCTGTATTTTGATCAATCACCACCATCCACTGCACCAAGAAACTTCTCTGATAGGGTCTGAGAAATATGCTAAGCTATTGATACAGAGATAAGAATCTAGAAGGCAGTTTCATATTATACCCATTTAACAGAATAATGATAGTAGTTTACTCTTGGAGCCCTTTAAGCTCCCTGACCGTATTTAGTGGTTTTGTTTTTGTTTTGTTGAAACAATCTCATTGTGACTCTGGCTGGCCACTAGGTAGACCAGGCTGGCCTTAGGTTCACAGAGATCAGAGCCCCCTGCTTCCCAGGTGCTAGGATTAAAGGCATGCTCAACCATACCTGACAATATTCAATGTGTTATAGGTAGAAAAACTAAAACTCAGAAATGTTCTGATTTCAACAAAGTCACATACCTCCCAGTGTCAGACTTCAGTTCTTTTACTATCCAAGGTAGGCTGCCATACAACCTATAAATCAAGCTGCTGCCATAAAAGTCAGAATTTAATAAAAAACGGTTATGACAGGTATTGGTCTCAGACTTGCTGTGTAGTCCCAGCTGACCTCAAACTAGAGAGTCTATTTCATTCCTCCTAAGTCCTGGAATTATAGGTTTGTGCTACCACACATAGCTTTTAAAATTAAAACATTAAAAAATTTAAGTCTAGATTCACATTTTACTAGTATTTGGGTGAAGTGTGTTACCTACCTTAACTGTAATCATATGTAATTATTATAAAGAAGTAAAAAAATTTATCTATAGTATGTTTTTTAAAAAAGAAGGCCTGGCCTGGTGGCCTGCACCTTTAATTTCAGCACCCAGGAGGCAGACACAGGTGGCTATCTTTGAGTTTGAGGTCATCCTGATCTACATAGTGAGTTCTAGGACACACAGGGCTATGTAGAGGGCTTTCCCCCCCAACAAATAAAAAGCCCTTTCCTAGTATTCCTATAAGTTAGCTTGTAAGGAATTTTAGAACTTTTGCTTATTGGAATATAGATTAAAGAATCTGGCATGAC